CTCAGACCATTGCATGGGTGCCAGAGAGGTCTTCGAAGTGATCTTCAAAATGCCCTCAAGATATTCAAAATTCCTTGGACAGCGTCTGTTGGGTACGGCAAAAACAGCCGCCATCAGGCTACGCCGATCGGTCCTGTGCGCCCAAAAGAACTTCGTAACGCTGCCGCAGTTACCATTGGCAAAAGTCGCTAATTAAACAGCCCGCCGCTTATCACCTTTATCGGCTATCAGCCCCCCTAAGGCTGATCAGATTTTTGACCCCAATTATCTCCCCCTGCCCAACTACCCTGACAACCACACTGTTTTTTTTCTGGAAATCCACATAGTTTGTTTACTTAATTATGATATAAATGTACGGGCCTGACGAGAATTTATCGAAAACAAACTTATGCTCGCCAGTTTATCTTCTAAAATTTTAAATGGAAATTTTCGCAAATTTAAACCAAACTCTATAAGTAATTAATCTAGCTAAACATAGACCAGTGAACGTAATTCAATGGATATTTGGAAGGAAATTGGGCCTAAGTTTCTCTTCAAGTTGTAAGAAACCACATTAATTGTTTCGCAGACCTCATAAGAGCAAGTTTATTCAAACAGTCCTTTTATATAGAAGGCTGCCTTCTTAGGTATTTTATTCTATAAAGGTATAAAAGGAAGTCAATTTTAAGTCATGATCTTAAGGATTTTTTTACCCTTTTTTACCGCACTGTAATATAAAACTACTAAAAACAGGACAGGCTGATAAAGGTTTTGGGCGAGATACATATCAGCTCATATTTTGTGTAGAGCTGCATGAGCTATCTGATTGTCAGACACCTAGCTTCATGCCTCCCTGTAATGCACTATAATTCTGCTGTTACATCCTGGGGTTTGTTGTTGCGTTAGTTTGGACATAAACATCCGGTACTATCTACAGGAATATCTCCTTAGCCGCATAATGTCAAAGAGGAACTCAGGCGATGTATCAAAGCCAGTCCTCTAGGTAATACAACATCAGAACATTCCACATACAACATTTATTGCTTTTGGGCTCACTGGCTTTACCTGCATAACAAATTTATATATTTTGTTTCTAGAGCCACCTAGAAGACTGAAAAAAGCCCTAACAAAGTCCCCCGTGTGCTCACCACCAGTAAAGTACCTCTGCAAAAAAGGGATGACTACCGAGTCCGTCGAAGCCAACCACGGAGCCCCCAGCGAGTTGCTACTAGAGTTCCTCGACAGTGTCATGTACAGGCGCTTTGACACCGCACTGGTCCTCTGTCGCAAAATCATTGAACTCGAACCGGACAACTACCAGGCTCGAGCCTTTTTACCTATGCTGCAGGATGCGCACTCGATGAAATCGAAGGGCTACTTCAACCCACTGATGCTCTCTTCCGATTCAGAGTCCGAGGAATCTAGTGGGGATGCTAGGGAGGCTCGAAACGAAAATAGAGCCGCCTCTTCGTCCTCCTCGTCCTCAGAGGAGTGGGACTACAGCACAACCACCGAGTCGAGTGGGTGTTCAGACAATGACGATGGAGATCTGTAACCCAACGATCAACAACGACCTACCAGTTTGCTTTCAAACTGCCCACCCGGTAATACACTGAACCCCCCCCCACTTGCTTTGTCTTTGTCCGTCTCACTGTGTTACTATTCCACTAAGGCTGCGTAACAGGCCGCGTACTTATTGTAAATTTCTCATGTGTTGAAAGTTGACACACCTCATTTCTTTGTGAGTTATATTTGTTTGAACATAATTGTATCTATGAGAAGCTAATTTGATTTGAGTATATTCAGCTATGTAAGATATTGGTATGTTATTTGGTGAGTTTTCATAAAATGGATTTCTCAGAGCCCTTTCATGTCTTCCAAGGACAGCCGTAAAGGTGGCATGAATACCACTAGAACCTCACTACCGTCACTGAAGTGCAGTTGTAACCCTTCTGATTTAAACTAGTGTCAACAGCCTGAGAACTGAAACTTACCTACAGTTTTAGGAGGTGTTTCTTCACCCCCGTTTCAGACGAATGGCAAAATTCACCTGATTTCACGATTTCAGAATAAAACACTTTGTGACAGGCGTGGGTTTCATCTTGGCAGGACATTCAGCATGACTGAAGAAGGATAAGCAAGGTGTTTGTGGACCTTTAGGATGACCGTTTCCACGTGCGCTGACCTTTATGGCACAAAAACGTGCCTACGACCAGAAACTGCATGCTTTATCTTAAACCCGAAACGCCGAGCCACCCATTATATCTACTGCCAGTAGGTCAAAGTAGACTGGGTTTTAGTAAGAAGAATTGTTTTATTCGACTAAACTTTTCCCATCCCTTTAGTTCTGGGGGTATTGGAGAATAACTATTTAGATATTTTAGAAATGGCAGTTTACCCGAGGTTCTGTGACCGGAGCACTGAAGATAAACCGATGTACTTCCTCTGGTTTACTCGAAGACTTCGGTTCAGGTGCATCTTAAAGAGAGTACAGGGGAAGTGAAAAAAAAACTTTCTAGATGGTAGCAGTCAAAAAGAGCAGAAGCACATATAATGCCTTTAAAAAAAAAACAATCGGAGCCGTTGGAGGGAAACATTAGGGCAACTGGGAAAAAAGATACCACAGTGAGATAGTGCGAAAAGATAAAAAAACCTCAGGAAAAATTTGGTGTTACGAGGTTTCCACGGCTTGTAGGCGTCGCCATAGTCACTATGTTCGCACGCTTTTAGTACACAGAAGGCACCGGCGCTTCCGAATTTACCGCCGGGACTCAGGTAACCGTCGGAGACCCATCTGCTTCGTGTTAGCAGGCATAAATTAGATCCTAGAAAAAGGTTCTCAACAGCGAAGGGCTCGTCCCCGTAAGGGAGGATGCCAAACATCTGTACTATTAGTGTTAAGTTTAAAACGGGGTGGCATCAAGAACTGAACACACACACTTCGAAATATCTCTTTGGTTGAAGAGTTTATAGAATCAGCTAAAATCTCCCAAAAATTCCAGGAGACAGTACGACCGGAAAGTGAGTGAGGGTTTACGGATTGAGAGCAACCGCCTTTTGTTTGATGGCGAAAGGTTGAAAGCCTTTCGCTGCTGTTAAGATCAAGGACAGAGCCCAACTAATAAGAGCCTCAGACTAGGTGAAGAAGATAGACGTCAGTGTGGGAGAGAATTGCAGTCAGCACTGAATGGACGGAGAACGCGCAGCTCCGTTCCAGCGCCGGTTTCCCCAGGCGTCCGAGTTTTTTGAGTCTGACCGTTCCTGAGTCAGCTATCGGTTTGATTAGCCTGTTTCGATGGATGTGCTGAGCCTCTCATAAACCTTCAACGACCGCTAACGGAAGTCATTTTTACTGCTTCGCCTTAGGCTTCATTTCTCTAGCCCTGACAGCAGCTGTAGCAGATAGTATTGCCGGTAAACACAAGGGAGACTAGAATGGCCATTTCTGACGTATTATCCGTCGTCAGTCAGTCATACGAGTGAGTTCCGTTAGCGGTCTGTGAACGTTCATCAACCGGCGTCGATATCTTCCGGCCTAAGCCGGTAAGACAACGAGCTCATGGGTCAATGGTTAGGACGTTAGACTGTGATGGGAAAAAGCTCGCGGGTTCAAGCCTCGGGTGGTGCACCACTTGGGGCTGGGTATGACCGGCTGACGACGGTTACTAAGCCAGAAATGGAAGAGGACGAAGAGTTGTCGAGCACCGGATCAATTTTTTTATTGTTCTGAGCTTTCGGGCTCTTATGGGAGTCCATAGTCAGAGATAAAAGCGTTAACGGAAAACAGGCAACAGTTATAGGGGGTAGGAGCCAATCAAACGTCATAGGGGAGGGGGGAGGTTAGAGGGAGGGGGAGAGTCTACCGTCAGAAATAAAAGCGGCCACGGAGACAAGCAACAGTTGTAGGGGGAGGAGCTAATCAAACATCATAGGAGGAGGGGAAAGTTTGAGAGGGAG